ATATATGTGAGGAGTTTTTTCTCTTCAGTGTTGAGGGCCTCCCCATCTCCCCCCACTGACTTGTTTTTCCCATGCTTTTATCCTTCTTTTTCCTTTTCTTCTTCCTAATAGGATTCCATCATTTTTTTGAAAAGATGGGAAATGTTGAAAGTGGCTGTTATGAGAACCACCTGTCAAGGTTTCTTCCTGAGGAGCAAGCAGACATCGATGGAGTATTTGATACCTTAGCTAGGTTGGATGGATCAGGAGGAGTAAAGACTGGAAAAGCTGCCAGAAAAGCTGTGACCCTAGCAATGTTAAAGGCAAGATCTATCATGCTTAATATGTCTAATGTAATTTATTGAATCTTATTTTAGAGAGGAAATAGAGAGTCATGAGTAGTTAATTTTCACTGTTATTTCATTTTAATTGCATATTAAATATATCGGGGGGGGCAGGAGGAGACAATTTTTTTCTTACAGTTCAAGATTACTTAAAACTGAGATTTATTTGTACTCAGTATCTCTTCAACTGCATCCAACAGAACAAGTCTGATTCTGAAGTATTTTAGCAGCAATATTAATATGTTTTGCAAAAAGCAACAAAATGTAGAGACTATTTCTCTTACGCAGAATTTATGGGTGTGTTTTTGTTTACAGAATTTCTTGGCAAGTGGTAGTATAATTAGATTCATGTTTGGTTATATCATTCTTGACTGAACTTATTGCCACTAATCTTCACCCTTGTACTGAAGTGAGAACATTTAATTTTGCCTGATTAAGCCATGGCTGTCTGTTTTAGCAAATTAACATAGATTATACTCAGTGATTAATGTTGCATTAATTTTCTAATCAAGTAAAAGGAGGAAAAATATTTTTGTAGCATTTGACAACTTTAGTGTGACAGCAGTCAAATGAAATCATATTAATTTTTTTTTTAATGTACACTGCATAACAGGATCAGGTAAATAAGGGCTCAGTGAAAAGGGGCTCATGGTTCAATGAGTAGGATACTGGACTGGGATCCAAGAGACCTCAGTTACCTTTAGACTGCCCTGCGCTGATACAAAAATGGATCTGCATCTGCCAGGTTCAACTCCTCATCTGCTCCGTAATCCGCAATCTGGATTTTACTTGTATCTGCACAACAATTCTGGAGGGAATGGGGAGAGAGCACAGAGGAGCTTGGAGGGGGGCAGACAGCATGAAAGAAGGGATTGGGAGTAAGGAGCAGCAGAACCTGGGACTGGGGATCTGCAGGTCAGTGCTCACTGGGTTGTGTGGAGGAGGAGGACCGGGCAGGTCCAGCACTTGGCCCCTCTTGCGCAGAGATTTAGGATGCAGCCATGTGTGTCCTGCCCTGGCCTCCCCACCTGACAGAGGGTGTGCGGGGAGAGTTCTGTGCAGGTATCCTCACTCCACTGTTCGCAGATATGAAGCAGAAATCCGCAGTCAAGCAGGGATCTAGTTATCTTCCCAGCTCTTCCACTAATTTACTCTGTGAACAGGAGTGCCTCTGTTTTCCTAGCTACCCTTCTGAGGCTGTGTCCAGACTCCATGCCTCCGTCGACGGAGGCATGTAGATTAGCCAGAT